GACTATGAGAGGTTTCTGACCATGGACGTGGCATGATCAAGTTGGGCGATAAAATTCATAGGGACCTTGGGAAGCAAAACTAGAAGAGAGACTTCAGTTGGGGAGACCAGGTAAGAGATTCTTAAATTCGGGCAGGTGGTGGCCAACGTCTTGGAAGAGAGGAAGTTCTACTCGAGAGATACAGCCAAGAGAGCGGGCAGGGAGTTAAGAACTGATTGGAGGGAGACAGGTGGGACTCTTCATTGCATGCCCATGTTTGTGGTTACACAAGGAAAAGTCCTCACTTACCCACCAAGCCTTCTTGATATCACACAGAACCACCACTTTTGGCTTGTGATACAATGTGAATGGTGCCCCCTTGAGTTGTGCAGTGCATAATACATGCAACGTATGTGAGACCTTCTGGCAGCATTGTCACCCTTACCCACAACTTCAAACTCAACAGAGTTTCCATAGTCAATATGTGTGCAGCCTTTATCACAGGCCAGTGCCTTATCAGATTTTTCATGAAGCTGAAACACTAAGGAGAGAGAATCGAAAGGAGATGGCAAGGGAGTAGAGCTGGGAGAGTCTGGATAACCCTTTGAGTACTCTACATTCAAACATGGATGTTGCTCTCCAACATGTTACATGCTTTTCCCTAGTGGATTAGATGATTTGATTAGTAGAATCTGGCTAGGAGTGAAAAACATAAAGGACCCTCATTTGGAAACCCATAGACTAGGATTTTAGACTCAGGTCACCCATTTCCTAAGTGCGTGATCTCAAACAACTGGGATTTTTTCAACCTCAGTCTCCTAAAGGGTTGCTCAAGTATTATGTAGAAAACAAACCGAGCTAGCTGGTGAGGAAACCCTTGGATAAAGTGGTCGGGTCAGGGCAGACTTTTTTGAAGAAGTGATCAGTGAAACCTGAAGGAGAAGGGAGTCAGCCAGGAGGGTAGGGGTTGGTGGGAGTGGGGGCGGCATTCAAGGCAGAAAGGATGGCAAATGCAGTCTTCCCAGGGAAGGAACAAGCTTGACATGTTTGGGAATGCCAGGGTGACTCACTCCTAAGGCTCTGTCAACACCTCTAGGAGAGGTGTGTTTTGCCATTGTTGTTTTGTTCAATTTTGAGGAACGTCATTTCGTTGATAAAGTTTAGAGGGTTCTTTTAACAAGTCTCATGGAACCCAAAGGACAGCCAATGTTGTGTGGCAGCGATTTTCAAGGGGTTTTTCTTAAGCATAAAGAAGTGAGCATAGTACAAAGCCGCAAGAGAATTCATATAACCCTAAAAAAAGCTGTACAAAGTAGGGGCTGAGGGCTTCCCTGGTGGCGCAGTGGTTGGGAGTCCGCCTGCCGATGTGGGGGGCGCGGGTTCGTGCCCCATTCCGGGAGGATCCCGTGTGCCGCGGAGCGGCTGGGCCCGTGAGCCATGGCCGCTGAGCCTGTGCGTCTGGAGCCTGTGCTCCACAACGGGAGAGGCAACAGCAGTGACAGGCCCACGTATCGCAAAAAAAGACAAAAAACAAAGTAGGGGCTGAGCAAAGTTCAAGCCGAGATACAGATTTCTGCTTCTGGAGACTGAAGGCAAAAACCAGAGCTTTATGTGATCTCATGACATAGGCTCACAGATCTCTGGTTTTATGATTTTACTCTCTCAGCTGTGGGAGTTGACCTCTTCTGTGATTGATGGTTAGGTACAAGAGAACTTCCAGGAAAACTAAAAACTCTTTCCGGAGGAATTCATACTCATGATGGCAAAATCCATTGTACAGCTGCCTTGCTTGCCTTCTTGATTGTTGGTGCTGCAAACATCCTGGGGAAAACAACATGGAAGGGGGACACAGCAGAGACTTCACAGGCAGAGAGGTCCCATGTCTGAATGCAGCTCCAGCCCCTCCACTCTCGAGCTGTATGTCCTCGGACAAGTTACTAAGCCTTTGGAGGATTTGGTACCTCATGAAAAGAAGGAGGGTAGTAATCCTTGCCCTGCCTTCCTCCTACGACTGTTACGAGGCTTAAATAAAAGCACGAGTGTACAGGTGTTTTGGAGACGGTAACGTCCTGTAACAAGGCAGGGAATAATAGCGTCTGCAGTGTTAGAAATGCCTGGGACTTTGTAAAGATGTTGCTTTGACTCAGCATTTCTGGAGAAGACCACACCATTTTGTTATCCAGAATGAAAGACTTCACTGCGGAGAAAGAGAGACTGATTTTAGAACAACAGAATGATAAGAGTTTACTTGCCTCCTTCGTACAGAATAAATTATTATAGCATAAACAACATTCAAGCCTCTGAATATATAATCCCTTTTTCCAGTCATCACATCTGCAAGTGTGTAACGCACACTTCTGTGAGCACATAAGGACGTACATGGCACAGCCATACTTCCATTCTCTATTTCCATCATTCCATATTTAGCAAGGCGAGCCTGGAGTCAGGGTTCTTCTCAATGGGTAAGAGCCGTTTACCTCGGAGTAAACATACAGGGGACCCTCCCAAATGGTTTGGACCAGGTGACTATGTCCTTTTCTCCTCCAAGTCCTGGTCAGGGAAGCATATCGGACACAGGTAGCACTGCCCTTGGGTTGGGGGCACTGTCCCATGTTCTTTTTCTCAAAATTTTCAAACACCTCTTTCTGAGAAAATACCCACATCAGAAGTATCCCCCAGCTGTCAATTTGGCAGTCAGGGCCCCGCTCTGTGCAACTTTTGTCTAGGTTCCTGTCCCATCAGAAGCCACCTTCCAAGGTACAGAGCAATCAGCCTGTGCATCCTCACCATGGGACCTCCCCAGCCTAGCCACCCACAAGGTCAGTCTGATATTCTGTGTGGGCAGCAGTCATAAAAGGTTCACATCACAGCGTGAGACTGAGACACTGGGTGTATCAAGCCTGAAAGGAATCCTGCAGGTAATTGAGTTTCATCTGATACTTGACTTCCCTTGCGAATTGGTCTTTGAATATCTGCTGCAACCACCAATGTCACCGAGTGCACACAGAGGTCACCAACTTCCACCTCTGGCAGTACTGACTGTTAGGGTAGTGGTCATCGTGTCAGCCTGAAGCCACTCCCATCGTGCTCTTCACCCACTGGTGGTGCCAAAGGATCCAGGTCAGAGCTTTCTCCCTCACGGTAACTCTGTCAAGTGTTTGACTACCATTCTGGCGTCCCCTGAATACCCATTTTTCCAGGCTAAGCACTTCCTGGTCTTTCACTCACTGCCTCTAAGACGTAGTTCATCTTAAGAACCATCTTTAGAATGAGTCCCTTTTGGCCAAGATTTTATGGCTGTTTGGCTGGTGAGGAGCCAGAGTCCTCCGTCCCTGTTCCCTTTGCTGAGGATGGAATCACTTCAGATCAAGACAAAAGCAGCTCAGAATTGCAGAAAAACAGACACCTGTGGTTTGGGGTTTTGTTTTGTTTTTAACACACCTCTAGCCTAAGGCTGGCAGGATGCCTTGCATTCATTTGAACAGAAGGCCCTGGTATTAGCAAAGGCTTGCCTCCTTGCACCTGGCAAAGAAGAAATTCACTCTTTGTTTGACTGTGAGATCACACCATGCACCCCTGCCCTGTTGGAGCTTAGTAATTAGGAGGTATTTGGAGGTAACATCAGGTTCGCTGAAGATTTGTGTCCAAGGTCTGGGTGTGCTCTCCTCACCCTGAATCTCAGCTTTCTCATCTGTAAAATGCTGATGGTAAGCCCTTCCTTGTCTGAGTTCCAGGAGGATTATGTAATTCAGATGGCTAGTGGAGGTGATAGCACTTGGTGAGAGGCTTTTCAGAGTATGAACGGTGCACCCCACACTTGGCTCGTCACTAGGCTGCAGACTATCTCCAGCTTGCCCCTGCCCACAACTTTCGAAAAATGAGAACAACTATCAGTTTTAGAAAAAGACGTTCAGAGCTTCCATATCACTGCCAAGGCTGACTTTGCCAAAGGAAACATTTCTTTCTGTACTGAGGAGGACAAAGATCCTGCAGCCTGCTCTAATGATTCTTCACACCCTATTTTAAAACCAGAAACGACAAGGTAACTTTGTGGCTGAGAAACACCATGTTCCAGAATTATCTGCACCATGTTCTAGAACTACGCTCAGGAGTTAGGCCGGGTAAGGGAATGCTTGCAGATGCTCTTGGGAAGCAGCCAACCAGCCAGGGACTCACTCCCTGCCCGGAACATTCACTTAGGATTTGATGTTTGCCATGAAAATGTTGCTTTTGCTTTAAAATACTATTTGTGGAAGTCTTCCTAGAATTCAGTGTTGTCTGCTGAGCTCAATATAACCAAATTGTGCTAATGATAAAATAAGGGAAGTTTTTGTTTTCTGAAATCTAAAGCCTCAAGCTTAAGAAATGCGTACGTTGTATGAGGACTTATGTTAATGATAACATATAATGTTGTAGCACAAGACTAACTTTTCTCAAAAATAATAGAGCAGAGGAGTAAAAATTCCTGAAATTGGGCACACGGGATGTGGTTCCTGGAATTGGGCACACGAGATGCGGGGCTCCTAAAACACAGACGTCCCCAGAGTCAGGAGCCAGAGGTTAGTGGACAGTTCTGGTGCTCTTTGATTTGTGCTTTCCTTTCTTTTCCAGGAATATAAGCCAGACCAACTGTGTAATCTGGGGGACCCTTATTAAAAATAAGGACTTTCAAGATGGCAATAGCAGAGTATTAAACCAACAATGGGACCCTTCTGAGCGTGAGGCCCTATGCGACTGCCAGATTGTATACCCATGAAGCCAGCCCTAAGTACAGGAGACTGTGCTTCCCGGTTTCTTTGCCAAATCCCTGGTTAGTGTGGTGTGAGTGATGGGAGAGATGTGTACCACTTTGACACAGTGAAGAGCTTCCATCCTCCTTCCCCACTGCAATATACATGGAGTCCTTGTGTTGAGTCGGCGGAGCCATCAGATTGGAGCAGTCACCACTCCGAGGAGGGCTATTCTGAAGAGCCACCCGGATCAAGACAGAGGCTCTTGAGTGTTAAGACACTGAGATACTGGAGTTGTTTGTTATTGCAGCATCGGCTCAGCCTATCCTTACTAATACTTAGGGGAAGGCCAGAAATGGAAGGAAACATCTCAAATCTGAAAAGTACCACAAAGGAAAGGAAACCAGACAGTGAAGAGTGGTGTGATGGTTCTCATGCATTTGTTTTTCCATCAATGAAATAAGAATTTAAAAATGATCTTTAACATGTTTACAATTCTATGCTCCTTTCCCTCAACTCATTTAAAAAATATATTATGTAAGAAGAAAGACTACGCACTCTCTTCCTTTCGCCTCCCAATCTCTTGGCCCATTGCCATCCCTGGACCATTCTGGAATCACTGAACACCTCTAGTACTTTCAGAAGCCAAGAGAAAAACACTCTCCTAGGGCAGTGTTCTGCTCTGTAGAAAGTATTTTATCAAAAAGACTTTAATTTGTCACCACGATTGGGCAGGATTTTGAGTCCAAAAACTCTAGCTGATATTGTAAGAGTCTCGCTGCTTAAAAACAAATCACTGAAACTGGTCCCTTTTGTCATCGTTACTATGTTATATAAACTTGGATACCACATTGCCTTCAAAGTTGCTCCTCGTTGCTCTCAAACACCGGGTTGCTATAAGATACTCCCCTGCCACACGCCGGCATGTCAGAGTAGGAGGTCTGGTTTATGGGGGGCCAACTGGGGTCATTTGCCAAGGCCCTCTGCCATATCCGATACTGGCTTTTTGATTGATAGCCAAAACACCTTTTGATTATCATCCACAGGGCTCTATTTTCAATGATGGCCTCCTGCAAAATAAAAGAGTTACTGTTTACAATCAGAGGTTAAGTGTTTCCAGAATACGGCCTTCCACAGATCCTCATAAGGCACTACTGCATTGACTGCTTCAATCTAGCTTGACAAATAACTTGAGCCTCTGACAAATCCAAGGTGATTTCATGTGATAGGTTATGGCCTCTCAAACTTTTCCACTTAAGAAACTCTTCTGGAGGAAGAGAGAGAAACAGTTTCAAGAATCCAAAAACATCGCTTGAAGTCGTCTGCCTCAAGGATTTCATATGTGAATTAAATGTAAAAGCATCCATATCACATCCATATGTGATTTAATATAAATGACACTTAAAATTATCTACTACCAAATGGTACTGACCTTATAGAAAGATATGCCATGCTTATGATGTGACTTGGGTGTACCCTGGCACATCACTGCATAGTCACGAACACAGGTAAAATTTGGGATGTGGGCCACAGTTTTGGAGCTGGACAGATCTGGATTTGAATCCCAGCTCTGACACCTACTATGGTCAAGTTAATTACCCCATCTGAGCCTCAGTGATTAGAAATAATAATTCCTTCCTCTTATATCTGTCATTAGGATTATATAACTCCCCGTACAATGCGGAGCATGGCATGGCATAGCGACTTCCCTTTACCATTCTCCTGAACTATTCATTTAACAAACGGCTGTGCATTGCAGCCTTATTCACATAAGCCTCCAGACTTCACCTACAAATATTTCATTGCAATGCGTTTTATAAGATGACAAAAGATATGTCCTTTGAAAACATTTTGGACTGGCATTTTACTTCATGAGTTAGACTGAGCCTTGAATAGAGCCCAAGTTATAACTTATAATACATAGCACATGAGGGATTATGTTAAATTCATTTTTTTCATCATATGTGGTCACAAAGATTGACCATCTTATAAGTTACCACGAAAGAAACAAAGAGGAAAATATGAGGACCCAAGCTGTCCCATAGAATTAGAACTGGTTTTGGTGTCTGTCAGTGGTATCTTTGTGAAACTGAAAGAGTTAATTCTGTAGGATTCTACAAGGAACTTTGCTAGAAATAGTGGTTTCCTAAAATCCACCCATCTTTGACATCTGAGTCCACTGCCCATGGAAATCATAGAGAACAGCTAGTCTGAATATTCCTCTAAAAACTGATCATCTGCCGACAGGCTGTTAAACACTCACACAGCCATCTTATCAGCATCTTGCAAACCTCAGGGATCACCTAGCCAAACCTGTTCCTTTACTTTCCCAGACCAAGGTTTTTTGTCCTCTTTAATTAACAAGAGAACAGTAGTTCTCCTTAGAGCTGAGATAAGGCAGGATCATAGGTATTCAATTAAAGGTTTTAAAATCTAACTTATGTCCAGGAAATCTTAGCAGGCTTTGTACAAAACAAATGAACACACACACACACACACACACACACACAAGAGATTAGTGCTCTACACAATATCTTGAGCTTTGTTACAATTCTACAAATGTGATGACCTGTATTACTTTGATGCTCTGAAAAGGGAATCAAAGAAAGCACTGAGAAATAATCCATCCTGTCACTGTACATTGTAAATTAGATGTAGAATGAGAAACAAAAGGAAAGCCTTGATGATATACCATTTCTTTAAAGAAAAAAACAAAACTTCATCACATGAGCTCTTCTGACATTCAAATAATTCATATATATATATATATATATATATACACACACACACATACATATATACACACACACGCATTCACACAATGCATAAGTAATAAAAGGGAGGGTGTTAAAGCTATCCACATTAGCTCCTCTGCCTGTTAGCAGGAGGTTAGATCATGAGACCCAGCAAGTAAGGATAAGGTCTCACTCAAACTTGTTTCGTATCAAATTACTGTCTCCATCTGCTGGGGGTGGGCAGGCTTACTTACTACATTTAAGAATTGAATAAACCTTTACCCAGCTCCTAATAGAATAAAGCAGTTGTTATAGCTAGTAAGATGACTTCTTGCCATAGTTTAATGGCAAGCAAAAAAAGAAATTTATACCCAGATAACTATAACGTTTGTCTTCTTTCTCCCTGAAGATTGTGAGCTCTACCCCTCTGCTATTATTACTCCGTTCACATCATGCCCTAGTACATGGCTCAGGTTCAACAAATGCCTGTGGAAAGAGT